ATATATAATACATTATTCAAAAGATTATACCACTTCAATAATCATTACAGTATACAAACACAATAAATACAAAGAACCTTATGATCATAAAATTACATAGTGCATGAAAGTACATCGGCACAAATGTTATCATGGATTATCCTCAAATCATACTCTTGTAGTGATAAACTGCAATTTAACACTCGTGTGTTTTATTTTATTTTCTTTCTTTTATTCTTATATTATATGTAAGGCATGTGTGGAGCAATGCATTATATTCGCATGCTTAATGAACATTATCTGTAATAATTCGCTAATACATATCGTACGTGGTGGGAAACATAAGGTAAAACTAACTCTGTGCTTTAGCGAGGTGTAGGTCAAGGACTCGGGTAAACAACAAATGAATACTAAAAATAATGTTGCATATAACATCACAAAACTAGGTCATAGGTCAATGTCAGTATTAAATCCGGATATCGAAGAACGCCCTTCTCGAAGGATGTTTATAGTGAAATGAAGTACAGTAAAAAGAAATCTTCAACGTACTTAGTTATTGTGATTTGGTCTGTAGAGCTTCTCACACTCTGATATATTGATAACTACGAAAATTCTAATACGTCTCATATCTTCTTCCAGCTGCTGTATTAGCGTGATGGCATTTCCTTTTTCTGATATTTAGATTTGCATACTTAAGATAGTATATGATGGTGTTGAAAAAACGAAACATGTTCACATAAGTTTCTGTAGAAAGTTAACAGTGACAACTCTTATTGATCAAGAATATTAATTTTAATTTTTTTCAGTAATCTCATTGAGTTATGTATTAGTTCAATTTGAACGATGAAATGGATAAAATTGAAATAATGGCAGTGTTAAAATACTCTTGTGTTTTTAAGAATGATAAACTTAAAGTTACGCTAATATTTACACGTATACTTTTTGTAGGATTTTCGCTATTACATAATTTAAAACAATTAAGTCACACAGTTAAGTTTTTTTATAACTATTTATTTGTTTGTTTAACGGTAAGCACAAAGCTACACAATGGGCTATCTGTGCTCTGCCAACCACGGGTATCGAAACCCGGTTTCTAGCGTTGTAAGTCCGCAGACATACCGCTGTGCCACTATTAAATCACCATGAGTACTAAATTCGCGATGTCAAAAGTGTCATTTCAGAGCAATGCTCTATTTAATTAATCCTAAATGCATTAGGACATTTAAAAAAAATCCTGTTCGGTTTTAAAAATGAAAAACTATTTGCAGTTAAAAAATACCTATTTAAACTAATATTACAGTTTTTACATATTTACCAAAACAATTACACACACTGATGCGGATTATATATCGTTTTTGGGGTAAAATATTAAAATTGTTGTTTCACTTGTATACCCCACCAGCTCGCAAACTTTGTACTATTTAGAATGTTACAATATGAGTGTAAGGCTTTTTACATTTTCAAGAGCATACAATGTTCGATCAAATACACCATATTTCATTTATATTGCAATTTATTTTTGGGTAAGGGGTTAAAATATAAAAATACGGTAGTTAATCTTTACCTTTCTTAAATATACTCCTTAAAAATTAACTTATTTGTGAAGCTACGAACAAATTATAACATTTTAAAAACTTAATTTTTCATATAATATTTTGTGTGCATGTAATTCAAAGCGTTTTGCTCGCTAATTTCTCATAAGTCACATTATGTTAAAGTATCTGTAAACAATGCAGACAAACAACTGTTTTATTCTCGGAGGGTAATGGATTATTATTCTCTTCCTCCCCAGTGATAGTTAACTTTTATTCTTCATTTGTGTTCGGTCTCAGATTAATAATAATGATAATAAAGTATGTTTTACGTAAACTTTATTAACCATTTCCTCCCACTTAATACACGTTTCCAAGTATTTTGCAGTATTGTTGACAAAGCTTGTGTGGGAACGTGCCATTTTGACACATTTTTTTCAAATTCTCTCTCTGTGTGTGTAATTGATATAATAGTTATGAAGCTATACCTCTTATTATGTATACATATGACTAAGAGCTTCTGCCTGTAAAGATGCAAATAATAATAATAAAGTTTTTGTCATAGACGTGTGTTTTACCAATTTTGAACACTTTTTTCATTATCTCCCATAACTCTCTCTCTCTCTCTCTCTCTATATATATATATATATATATATATGTATAGAGAGAGAGAGAGTGCATATTTCTGAAATCGAATAATTACCATATAGGTTCATTCAGGGATTAATATTTCTCTATTCATAAGCCGCTTGGTGATAGTTTTATATGTATTAATCTGTTAAAGTAGTAATTGCTACTAAGTTCTATGAAATAAAAGTGTGACATAATTTTTACATGTTTGCTAAATTCTAAAAATGCACGTTACATTGTAATGAAGGTATATCATTTATTTTAGGCAGACAACCATGCCTATCGCTACCAATATTCGTCACCTACATCATTAAATAAAAGTTTTATAGGAAGTTCTAGCACAACCTCACCTCCTGCGAAGTTGAGAAAACAGACATGTTGGGCTTGGACGTTGTTGTTTGGAAACTTTGATACCACTTCTCGACGAAATCGTTTTATTTTGTTGTTTGTCTTGCTACTGTTAATTGGTGCAGGACTTGTTGCAGGGGTTTATTTTGTTGTTGGTGAGCATTAAAAAAATGTCTTTTTTTAGTTTAATCTATTCATAAAAATAGACCGCTGAATTCGTTTCATTGATCTTCGGCCCCGGTTTATTAATTAAACAAGTATTTAATATGTAAACTTCTTTCATTGCTTCATCCCACCTATTACATGTTTTTTAGTATTTACAATACTATTGATAAAATTTTTTTAGGAATGTACCATTTTTACTATTTAGACCTTTTACATTTTTTTCAAACTAGATGAAGATATATAACTATGTTAGTGCATGATTTTTTAACACATTGAATCAATATTTGATTGAAATCTGTGTGAACCAATTCTAGAATGAAGCTGAAAAAAATTAAAATCCAAACCAATAAATTATTTTTGTTGTTTTTGTGCACATTACATTGAAACTTGTTGTTATTATTGTCTATAAATTTTACTTAATATATCCAATAAAGGAAGACCTGATATTTGTGTTGACTATTAGGATATGTCAAACTTATCAACATGTTCAGGATCATTAAAGATGACAAAAATATCATCAACATGCTTTAAATGATAATATATAGGCTTGAAACTAAAAGGACAGTTTTCATACCATTGTTTTTATGGTAGCAAAAGAATACATTAGGGTAAATCCAATTGCTCAAAGCTAGGTAGTTGAATGCCAAAGTAGAGAAAATTAAAATTTTTCCTAATGTTTCGAAAGTCTTGAATGAAGCATCATCCAAAATGCTTTTAACAATCATTAAGTCAGAATCCACTGTTTCTTTCATAAATGTGTCAGTACTGACTTTAAGGATTTTATAAATATAGTAGAATAACTAACTTTATTTTATTTTAGATAATACCAAATCACACCAGAAGGAAATAAGCTACAGACTTTCAGAACCAAGATGTAAGTTTTACTATACTAACGATACTTTATTATGTAGTAATTACTGTCTTGTGCTTTTAGCACTATGTCATTTAAGCTTATACAATTAAAAATATGAATTCACTGAAAATCTTTTGACCAGAGCTTAAAAAGGTAATCTAAAAAATGTTTAATGATTTGACTTTAGTGCTGTATTTATATTATATTTCTATTTTTTAATCTAGCACTCAAAATTAAGCTAAAATGAGTAGAAATATCTTTAACAACTTATTTTATTTGTGGTAAAGAAAAGTGGGTAATAATTAATTATATCGTAGCTGTAATTAAGTTAATAATAAGTCATTGAAAATAACTGAATTTCTTATATAATTTTTTAGCTATTAAAACAGTAGATGGAGAGTTTAAGGTTACAAACAGAGATTTCATCCCAGGACTAAAGAGTAACTCCAGCCTGTCGTATTTAATGATGGAAAGGGAACTTTTGTATTCTGTAAGTATTTTGTTTTGCCCTGGAAGTAAGTGTATTTTACATAAAACTAGTAGCAATAGTTTCATTCTGTCTTGCCCATAATTTTGTCCTCAGAACAGTTTATTTCTGATAATTTTTAAATAATATGAAAAGTTGTCAAAAATTTATAGAAACTATTTTCTGAAGAGTTAAAAATGATTACTTGGTAATATTTTGGGAATCGGGTGCTTGTAATCTGGCAAGAGATAGATGATTAACCTATTTTATTAGTCTCCTTAAAGTGAATTATTATATAAAAATAATATTGGACTTATTTGCACATTTAAAGCAGTCGTGCTTAAGATTTTGTTGTAAATTTTGTAGCTGAGATAATTACTGATAAAGTTCCTCTATATTTATATAGTAATTAGACTAGGTTGCAAAAGATTCTCTGAAAAAGTTAATAATAAAAAAATTTTTGTAATTATTGTAAAGTATTAAATTTCAAATAGCCTGAAATTCAGTTAACTGATAAATTTGAATTTAGTAGTTAAATTGTAATTTGGATTTAGTAGTTAAGTAAAAGCCGATATATAGTCAATTTATGATATTTGCCAACAAGATTGATACACACAGTCTTCTTTTTTAACACAAATACGTTTTAATATACACAAAACAATACAATTTACAATAACAATTATTACAAATAGTTATTACAAACAATGATTTATAAACAAAAGTCTTCCTTTTAATTTGGAATTTCTTTGGTATCTTATCTAGGGTTCATGATGAGTGAGTTGATTACCAGTTGACGTATTTCACTTAACGGGAAGCTAGCTAGCTTTGTCCTTCGTTATTTATTGGCCACACACATAGAGTTTTCCACAATGAATTTATATAATATTTTGTAAAAGAGAGAATCTATTGAATTTTGTCCAATGAGAATCTACTGAAGTTAAATGATTTGTAATGTTCGAACTTTGTAAAGGTTCCTGGCCAAATATCTGAAGTCTTCCGATTGATTAGTGTTATAACAATCACAGCTGTAGTTTCCAAAGTTTATAGCACACTGACTATAGCGAACTGATAATAGATACTCTCTTTTTTTGGCTCGTCAGGTTGGTTATATTTATAGATGTGTAGAGGCGTTCTAGAAATTTCAGTTTTAAGTAACAATACTGAGCTATATTTAACCATTTACGTATATACATATATTGTTGATTCTTACTATTGAGGACCTTCTACAACTTTGGAGGATAGGCGGAAGTTTCACAATACACATTTAACAGTATAAGCTACTCATGTTTAAAAATATAAACTTAATCTAAACAAACGTTGATATTAAAATAAATATATAATAATAAATTTGTTACATTGTATATATACTTCATATTGTATAAAGCAGTAGCTACAATAAGACATTTCCCTTTGTGCTGTAGAAATATTTTGTATTTCTTTTAGATTGACAGACTATTTGAACAAAGTCCTTTAGAAAGTGTGTATAATAAGACTGTCATTATGAAATTTAGGTGAGTAGTATCATGTATGATGTTTTCTGAAAGTTGCATTATTGTTTTAGAAGCCAGTCTGGAAAAAAATGCTATAACGTAAATGAGATATTGACTAAATATACTCATGTATCAACATACCTTCTTTAGTTACTGACAAGATATATGATCATCATTTGTCAGTATCTAAGTTAACATTGTCCACATTAAGTTAGTTAACTGCTCACATTTCTTTAATTAATGAAGTCTGTCTAATGGTTCACATATTTCTCTTACAAGGACCAATGAATAACGAGGGTCCCTTTGATTCTTCAAGACTGTCCCTGTACACTCAACCCCCAAAGAAAAAGAAAAGTAAAAATCAAGTTCACCCTATTCTTTTATAGAAATTCATCAATTCCCCCTCAAAGTCTTGTAAGGAGCTGACCTCCACAACTTCTGATCACAAATCATTCCATAAACAAATTTTCCTGTCAGAAGAAAATAAACTGAAGCTTAGCCTGTTTTTTCCAGATTTTAAACTTATGTCCTCCAGATAATTTCCAGTTATGCTGTTGAGTGGGTTTCCATTTATATTAAACATGTGGTCCAAATTATGATAACTCATGTGCATTATCTTACACTTAATATTAATTAAAGGTCATTTCTCAACTACTTGTACAAATTATCAATTGATCCAAGTTATTTTTTAACACCTCATTATCCTCTGCAGCTAGAAATACCAAAGAATTTAGTGTCATCAGTAAAAAATGCTAAGTCACTAATTACACCCCTATCAATATCATTAATGCAAATAAGAAAAAGCATAGCCTTAAACACTGACCCCTGAGGCACATCAAGCTCCAGTTCAACTAGACTCCATTGATAACATTTTGTTTTTTATTGAGTCCAGTTAACTGGTCCTTCCACTACATCTAACAATGTGGTTTTTTTAGCTAATCTTCTGTACGACATCTTTTCAAAAAACATTATGAAAATCTAAAACCACCAAATCCATACTTTTTCTCTCATCCAGGTGATAAGGAACATCTTCAAAAATAAGTTAACAGATTAGTAAGGAAGATTGGCCTCCTTTTACATTTACTTGGTTAAATTATTTCCAGAACTCTTTTTATAACTCTGTAGAATATCTTCCAACTGGCCTAGAATTTGCAGAATAACAATTTTCTCAATCCTTTAACAATAGGAGTAACATTAGCAACTTCCAAATCCTTGGGCTTTTTCTGTTGATCTACCAAATACATTTCTTGACTTTGTGCTTTATTTTTAATCAGTCACTTCCAAACGATTAATGTCTATAAGTTCAGAAGTTCTATTATTTCCTATAGAATACTTAAGGTCAGGAATATTCCTATCATCCTATCCTCTAAAAACAGAAAAGAGGAAAACATTAAAAGCCTTACTGTTAATTTTAATGCTACTAGCCAGCTGTTTTTTAGCTCCCTTGAATGTTTAAAAACATTTTCTATATCTGTCCAATATCATATTTTAATCATTATCACAATTAACTAGTTATAAATCTTGTCTTTTGGTCTCAAACTTTGCTTTCTGCAAATTTGGAACTAAAATTGAATTTTTTTTATGTGAATATGTAGCAAAACATCAAATTATGCAGTGTTCATTCTTTCCCAAATGTTCCATCACTTAAACTCTTCTTACCACATTTGCATTAATGGTTAACAATAAATTAATAACGATATCTGTTATGGTTGGCTCCCTAATCAATTGGTTTAGAAAACCATCCTTAATAATTTGAGATACCTTTCTCTCTCACCAGTTGGACCAAGCATGGCCTAGTGGTTAGCATATCAGACTGTGTATTAGGTTCTGTGGTTCTCACACAGCCATTCTTCCATTTCAACTTCAAATCTGAACTCTTGAATGCTCTATTTTTATCCAATAAGTTTGTTTATTCTCAGTTTCCAGAACTCCCTCATCACTATATGAAAGTTTAGTTTAAACTATTCTTAATAAAATTCTTTAGAGCTTTCCCACACATCCAAGTACTTAGCCAGCTTATGTACATTTCTGACAGTCTTTCATTTAAGCCTTGGATTTTGCTACATAATTCATTCCTACATCTAACCTGAAAGAGCATATGTTATGACTTCTAACATCAGTTGCACCTACATACACTACAAAAAGAAAACGCTCCCCCATTATTACCAGAAAATAAACTGTCAATGTTCTCTGTAATGTTCTGTACTTTAGTACTTGACAAACAAATCTTTCCTAGTCTTTCTATGCTCCCCATGACAAATAACTAAATCAGTATGTTTGATGAGAAGGTCCCTTACTATGTAAACCTTTTGATTGGCTCAGTCCTCATTTCAAGTGACCAAAGGTCTAAATTTATTCAAGACTGGTTTCTAAGTGCTAACTGAATCTGTGTCTGTAGCCTTAACTATTTTACTACTGTGCACTGTTGTAAAATGAACACTCACATTCTCACCATTCTCAAAATTAAAAATTACACAACTTTTTTATTTATTGTCTATTTTACATGACTTCTGCTACTTTCTCAATCTAGTAAAGCAGTCTTCCCCAAACAGATCTAACTTATCCTAAATTAAGCAAACTCTTTAAGTGTAGTGTACTGTATTGTTACTTTACAATCCTCTTGAAAATAACAATTTTCAAACAATCTAATTTAGGCACCTCTTGCACCATATAAATTATTTACCAATCTTGAACTACATAACCATACTGATGGTATGCTAGTGTTATTTCTATATTACCAATCTAGTCACATAATATTTGTGTACTTAACTAAAAATAAGCTATTTGACAGTTTATAGATAAAATTGTAGATAAATCTTGCACTAATTTCTCTATTTGTAGTAATTAATACTGTTACTATTAATTACTTGTACCACACTACAAAATACACCACATGTAGTTACACAAACTAATTACAAATTTTAAATAATTAACTAAAGCAGTAAATACTTATCATCAACCAAAAAATAATGTAAATCAGTTTGACTCTTAATATAAATAAACTTTGCCCTTATTTACTTATTTAGCAAATAATTATTATAATTGTATATTTCAATTTATTAGTTAATAACTATGGTGTGCTAAAAGTACTCTAAATGTTTGTAACATTAGCTGTCTGCTGGTCATATGATGGTAAATGCTGAATAATTTTTCTTCTGAAAATTAAATCTAAATAAATATTTTATGAACATGTAGTCTAAAAATTCTAGTAATAATATATCTATAAATAATGTTTATTCGTTTTCTAGTATTTCACAAAAAACATTTGTTGTGTATATTTGGTTATCTTCTGTAAGTGGTCCTTACAGAATTTTGATTTATGTATATTTTTATGTTATGTTGAAATCCGCTTTTTGATAAAGCCTTATAAATTTAACAATGAAAAAACTTGTTCTTTAAGAAATATTCCTACATGGTCAAATGTCTGACCCTGTGATTAATTAATTGTGAGGGTCCGGCATGGCCAGGTGGTTAGGGTCTTCGATTCGCAATCTGCAGGTTTGAATCCCCGTCACACCAAAGATGCTCGCCCTTTCAGCCTTGGGGGCATTATAATGTGACGGTCAATCCCACTATTCATTGGTAAAAGAGTAGCCCAAGAGTTGGTGATGGGTGGTGATGGCTAGCTGCCTTCCCTCTTGTCTTACACTGCTAAATTATGGACGACTAGCGCAGATAGCCCTGGTGTAGCTTTGCACAAAATTCAAAACAAACAAACAAATTAATTGTGATGACAAAGGTAATGTATTTTATGGTAAAGGGAAAATGCACGAAGATATAACTTTTCATAAAAATGCTAAACAAATTGTTGACTAAATTTGTTAAAAATCTTATCTAAGGCAAAAAACATTAATAATTAGAGGGGCACTCAATAGAGTGCATACCTCTGCCACACAGTGTTTGTCATATTTGGCACTCAAAAGATACGAAATGTGTCGGTCATTATCAACGGACACAGATAATTTTTGGCAGGGCAACGAGGAATAATATGCTACATATGTCTACTAAGTTTCATCAAAACCCGATATTTTTTGACTGAGTTATGGAGCAAAAATAGTGAAAATCGGTCACCATATTAACAGGTAGGGATTTTCATAATCTTGTTGTGATCTTGACCCTCCAAAAACTAACCACTTCTAAGTGTATAGCAATTTTCGTCTAAATCCATTCAGCTGTTTTCGAGAAATCTTGCTCACAAACACATACACTCGCACATAGGGGGTGAGAAAAAAACCTCCGTCCACTTTTGGTGGCGGTGGTAATAATCTATTGTATCCCCATCTAGTAGGTTGAATATATATTTAAGTTGTTCTTGACACAGGCAGTGATGTTTATTAGGTAATCAAACATTATTCCTGATTTAATCCATAATTGTATTATTTTTTTTAATATTCAAAGAACTTGTCGTAAATATGATGATAAGTGTATATAAAAAAAGTAAGTATAACAAACTTACTATAATAGAGCAATGGCGTGGCCATCTAGCTATCTATCTGTTAATGTGACTGAAATAATAAATACAATGGTGTTGTCTGTTGTGCTGAAATACAAGATCTCAATACGAGAGGCGGTGTTTGAGGCTTAATGCATGTGACACCGTCTATTGAATGGCATCACAAACAAAACAATAAAAATAATATTTTGGGTATTGAAGATTCAGACAATTAGAAAAATAACTATGGTATGTACAGCAACCATTTCTTTATAACGGAACATAATTTTAAATAAAAGTACTCTTCTCACAACAAGAACATGACTTTCACTAGGACTGTACATGAGGGTTTGATTATATCTTTATTGATGTAATTTTTAAATTTAGTACTAAAAACTTATTTTTTGAATAAATGGTAACATTTTTAATATATAAAAACAATACAGTTTATATCAGTAACATTTATGACAATTTTGAGCTTTGTACTTTGAATCATTTTGATGCATTGAGTTGTGTATGACTAAAGAGCACAATTTGAACACTTTTCCCATGCAGTACTTTCCACAAAAAGATACTTTCACAACTACAATACTTTTTTAGAAAATGTTCACTTTTTACAGTTTCTTACAATGAGGTATGAATGCAACAATTACTAATTACTAGCACAAATAGTTGCCTGTAAGGTGGTATTTCTGCTAGTAAGAAAAATAAACATAAAATCCTGACTTGACTGGGATTTGAAAGTGAGACTTCCATATGATAGTTAAGCAATATAAATGCTGTGGCACACAGTTTTTGTAATTGAATGTTAACAAATAATTCAAATCCCTAATATAAACTGTGAAGTTGTTGTGGTTTTTCCTAATATTGTAATATCTTTATCTAAACATGATAAGTTAATAATTATAAAAGTTATAAAACATCACCTCTCGACTTTGATTTGAACTCAAGATTTCTGCTTGAGACAAACCACTGAGCCAATTTAAACATTACCAACAGAGAGTCGAGAGCTTCTGACAAAGACAGCATTACAAACAAAGAGTTATGACTTAATGTTGACAGCTGGGACTGGTAATGGAAAATAATTGTTTAATTTTAGTTGTATTATAAATGTTGTTTTATATTAAGTTTGTTATTATTCTAAAGTGTTGATATAATCACCTATTGACAATTAATGTAACTGATAGTATTAGAGCTATATATATAAGACACACACACACACTACCTAAAAAAAAGTTAGTAAATTTAAGCATAGTAAACATACTTGATGAATGAAAGATATGTGTTGAATAAGGAAGCTTATTATTATATGATGTTTTCAGCAAAAAAAGCTTAAGTTTATAAGCTATCATTTTGAAAAACATTCATTGAATCCTAAAAGTAATAGACTTTGTAATGAATAAAGAATTTTTTTTCAATCTTAACATATCTGTGATTGTGCAAAATGTGGCTAGATTAATCATATATTTCCTAAATTAGTTTTTGGTAGTTTTATGCTCTGTGAGATATTGAAAATTCATTTCAAAAATTATTATGAAACAAAAATAAAAAAAAATTTAACTATGAATTTGTCACATTCATATACAAAGAACTAATTATGCCAGTGTATTTTGTATTTTTTTTTGTAAAACTGACATGTTTATCACTGTTGAATTCATGTGTTTATGGTTATAAAGTTGTGTGATGTAACACAATGTGTATGGTTAGGTACATTTTTAAAATAATGTGTATTTTTAAGAGAGTCTTACACTGCTGTTCTTTATTAATAAGTACAAATAATTTTATTTACTTGGTGGAGATTAGTTTTTATTTTGCTGAAAATCAGTTTAAACAATGACTTCAGTTTGTGTATTTCTTATTTTGTTCTATGGGAGTAAATATTACATTGGAGAAGGATGAGTAATGAATTTTAAAGAGTTTTAAATGTTTGTATAGATTTGAAATTTATAACATAAAGCTTACAAGTAATTTTAGACTATAATGCAAATGGTAGAATATTTTTCTGTAATTTTTTCAAAAATGCAATAGATTAGATTTATGTGTTTTAAAAATGTATGTAAGTTGAATGGAACTGTTTTGTAGTTAACTGTGAACAAAGTAAATTTTATATATCTCTTTTATATTCAAATTAGGCCAGGAAGCATCATTGTAAATTGTCGTATTTTCTTGAAGACCATAGTACATAACACTATTGAGAATGTAGGGCAGGTATTCAGACAAAGCCTGGAACAGAACAATGGTTTCTTGGTGGGTGGACTGCTCAAAGTTGACATGGAATCTGTGATATTTAGGCCCAGTGGTGAGTTAGTGAATGTGTATATCATATAAGCATTTAATAATTAGCATAGAAAATAACTTGATGCTTATAGTTATCATATAAATATTTAGAAATTAGCATAACAATGATGAAATAAAAAAAGAGATTCAAGAAGTTTCGTAATTTTCATATGAACATGCTGTAAAAATTAAATGTAAGATTTGTGAGTGGTACAGATTTGATTGTAAAACTTAGCACTAAAGATGGCATTTAGATTATTAGTAATAATTTATATTGATGAAAAAATATAATGTATGTATAATATGGTAGCTTGTTTTAATGCCACTTTTGGGTTTAACAAAGAGTACGACACTAATGCAAACACTAACTACCATAAACTAATACACTTAAACAGTAAAACAGAACAATGTAGCAGATGGTATTTTTAACAAATATGAAATATCTATATTTGTCATTGTTCATTTAAGATGTAATGTGTTGTAGGTTTACGTGAATTATGGATATTTATATTTTTCTAAAGTTGCTCTAAAAGTTTCCAAAGGATTAACCCTTATAAGAGTTCTAGAACATAATTCTTCAAATAATACGCGTCTTCTGCAGCATTTATAACTTTACTTTTTTTAAAACTAAAAATGAGTTTGCAGAGTAGTAATATATTAAGTCAGAAAAACTGTCATGTCTATTCATCCACGTTAAACATCTTGCACTACATAACAAGGATGTTGACTTGCAAAGAGTGGGTCCTCTAGAATATGATGGGCTTTTCTTCCCTAACTTTGATTTTTAAAGTGTTATAATATTAACCTTTTTGTATTAGGTAAACATATGTTATTCTACATAACTAATAAATTTACAACTATTAAAAGAAACATGTTTTTATTCAGCAACTTGGTCATCATGGGGTCAGTGGTCATCTTGTAGCCAAAACAATCAGTGTGACCCAAGCCTTACCAAGAGAAGGTTACGTGATTGCCTAAATATTGATGAAAAGAGGAATGTGCTTAATAACAAAGCCTGTCAGTGGCAAGAAGGACTTACAGTTGAAAAACAAAAATGTGTTTGTTCTTCATTGAATGTTTCAACAAAGAGAATTCTAGTAATCAACACCAGTTCCTCACCACATCTCACCACTAGTATAATACCTGCAACATCTGTGTTTGCCACCACTGCCATCACATCTGAACCTATTGCAAAATCTGTGTCTGCCATAAATAAAGGAGTCACAACTCAAAATCCTTTGTCATCAACAGTGACTGAACGTTATAAAAATCTTAGTATTAATAATCGTAAGTATAATTCACGGAAGCAGGTATATTAAGCATTGTTTCTTACTTAGTATTCAATTCCAGTCCAACCTGTTTTGTGGTTTTTAATTGCTATAACAGCTCTTGGTATGCAGACATTTATTATGCTAAGAAGTATTAATAGTTTTAACATGAAATTGCTTCATATTATATTGATTGAGTTAAGTTTTATGTTCTTTATTAATTGATACACTCTTCTGAATAATGGAAGAAAAGGTAATGCTTTTCTGAGCACTAAAAAATAATTTTTTTTCTAATTACTAGTACTGTCTTCTTTTTCAGGTAATTTAGAATGTTGGTTTTATATCATTTAATGATGTTCTTACCGAGTTTCTTTTAGTTGAGTAGAATTATATAGTGATGACCAAGTAGGAAAATTATAATAATGAAGTAAAATTATCTACTGATGACCAAGTACGAAAATGATAATAATGAAGTAAAATTATCTACTGATGACCAAGTACGAAAATGATAATAATGAAGTAAAATTATCTACTGATGACCAAGTACGAAAATGATAATAATGAAGTAAAATTATCTACTGATGACCAAGTACGAAAATGATAATAATGAAGTAAAATTATCTAGTGATGACCAAAGTAGCAAAATGATAATAATGGAGTAAAAATTATCTAGTGATGACCAAAGTAGCAAAATGATGATAACGGAGTAAAATTATCTAGTGATGACCAAAGTAGCAAAATGATAATAATGGAGTCAGATTATCTAGTGATGACCAAAGTAGCAAAATGATGATAACGGAGTAAAATTATCTAGTGATGACCAAGTAGCAAAATGATGATAATGGAGTAAAATTATCTAGTGATGACCAAAGTAGCAAAATGATGATAATCAAGTAAAATCATTTAGTGATGACCAAGTAGCAAGATGGTGATAATCAAGTAAAATCATTTAGTGATGACCAAGTAGCAAGATGGTGATAATCGAATAAAATCATTTAGTGATGACCAAGTAGCAAGATGGTGATAATCGAATAAAATCATTTAGTGATGACCAAGTAGCAAGATGGTGATAATCAAGTAAAATCATTTAGTGATGACCAAGTAGCAAGATGAACTTGATTATCACCATCTTGCTACTTGGTCATCACTAAATGATTTTACTTGATTATCAAAGATCATTTAGTGATGGCAAAGTGGCGATAATCGAGTAAGATCATTTAGTGAATAAGTAGAGAATTCTTCTGACAGTAAACATCTTAAGTCATCTGGTGATATTCAAGTAAAATAATTTGGATGATCAAATGAAATCACCTGGTGTAAAATTATCTGGTGACAATAACCTGAAACTTACTTAAAATATACATGGTAATGATAGAAAAAAAACGAATCAAAACTTAAAACATTAAGACTTTGTAGTTAGTTTTGGAAAATCTAATAAAGCTGGAAACCTGATAAGTTGTTAAAAAAATAGTTTAATGACATCAAAGTTTTACTCGCATGTTAAGTTTTATTCCTTTTTTAACTTTATTACTAGTTATTTTAAACTCTTGCAGGTTGAAGAGGAATCCTGATTTTATGTTTGGAAAGTTGGGAAAAAAAATTACTGTATGTATTAAACTTTTCTGACGTTTTTGTAATTAAAAAATTTTAAATTGAACATCAAGTACAATTGAATAATTTATCATTCTCAGGGCGGCCATGTCACGAGTGTCATGTTGGAGAAATCTGTCTCCTTAGGCCAGAAGAGTTGGTTCCTTACTGTGTACCTGTTAGAGACACTGGAGACTCCAGAGGTTGTGGAGGGTGGTGTAATGGTCCATATGAACTGTGTGATAGACTTGACAATATTACCTATCAGTGTGTTGATGAAACAGGTGATAACACAAGAATTATGTATTGTGTTTCTCAGTATTGGCTAAAATATTTTACAAGCTAGAGCTTAGGTGATAGAATGAATAAATAACATTGGTTATCAACACTATTTAACTTTGAAACTTTAAATACCATTATAACATTTCAGAAAAGGGAGAAACAAGAGGACTGTGTATTTCAAAGTTAATGGTATAGAAAATAATTTCTACACACTTGAATTGAAAAGAAATGTTAGAGTGAAGTTATTGTACTGACACTATGGGACATTTTACTACATTACTGTGTGGAAATTATTTTATCACAAAATAAGTATGCTATTTTTGTTGCTTTAAATTAATAAAAAAGTTATAGATGACTTAAGTGGAAGTTTCTAACTACATGATAGTACCAGTCATCAGAATTCAGCTATAATGTTTTTTGGTCTCTTCCATAGAATGCTTATTGACTGAGTGGAAATGTGGTAATGGATTGTGTATCCCAAAAGAAAGAAGATGTGATGGACATTTGAATTGTTTTGATGACACAGATGAATTAGATTGTGGTAAATAATAGTTCTAACCAATACAGTCTGTACATACTGTTATTGGGATTATTCAGTGAAGAATGTGATTTCTTTGTTGTTTGCATAATAGAAAAGAAAAAATATTGACTAAGATACTGATATAAGGTTATCTGAATATGTGTTTGTAATAACTTAAACTGTATGACAAAACACTGTATTTAGTTCAAATATTTGAGAGGGAGATAATACAGTTTTAGGATTTATGTTGACTTCGCTTAGAATTGATAGAAAACTAATATCAGCATCAATAAAATTACTATTATATTAATATTTATGTAACACTAATTACAAGTAGCTCTTTCCACTTTTATCTTTTCAGCTTGCTCTAAAAATGGGTTTCACTGTGGAAACAGGACATCCTGTATAGAACTTTCTAAACGGTGTGATGGTTACTATGATTGCTGGGATGGAAATGATGAAAGTAACTGTTCCTTAGGTAAGAAACACGTTTAAAATTTAAAGAAAGTATGTTTACATTGAATACAAAACATGGGAATAACTGTTTTACTATTGGTTAACTACATTAGAAAATCATGGTGGAAGTGTAGAAATTAAATCTCTCTCTCTCTCTCTCACACACACACACACACACACACACACACACACACACACACACACACACACACACACACACACACACACACACACACACACACACACACACA